TACGTCCATCTTTTATACAGTCTATGCTTTTTACCTAAACCATTTCACAGGTACTTTTTGGTTCATCATGATGGTAACCAGCTGCCATGTTAGACACTAACTGAACCACTGGAAGAAATATGGAGTTCAGTGAGTTGCTCTGCATGCAAAGGAGAAAACAGGAATAAAACCACTAATCCCAGACGCTAGAGATGTAAAAGTACGTGTATTTGTCCATCAGTGTTTTGGAACGCTATGTTCAGTTCAGACTGAGACTCTTTGATCCAAACAATTAATTCCTCCTAAAACATTTTGGCAAAGCACCAGTTGTTGTCTTTCAGCTATAGCGAGGTAGCAACGTTAGCATCAGAGGCTCAAATTGCACTGCTGCCTTTAATAGTTAGTTTAAATTAATTCCGAACATGTTGCACTTGTTTTAACAGTTTTATTTTTTTTATTTTATTTTATGCCGCTCAGTGTGGTGTAATCTGTTTAGTGCAGTATAGTTTTATTGTGAAAGGCTGATAGGAAGTACCAGGAAGTGCCTGACGTTAGCTTGGCGGGTTTGGACGTAAAAGGTTTTGAGTTTGGGAAAAAGCCAAAAATAAAGGCTGTCCAGTTGCTCTACAATGTGTCGCTTGAATCCTTACGCCCAAGAACACGACACTCAGAGCCTTTTCTTATCAACAGTATGTTGCATTTGAGCATCCTATTATGATCAATAAGACCTTCAGGTTTTCATTTTTAAAAAATAAATGGCAAAACTAATAATTTCTGCCTATCTTGTGCATCTCAAAACACGCAGAACTGCAGCTCCAGAACTGAGACACAAACTGAACCATGAATTTTGTGAATCATCACTCACTATAAATGCAAAGTTTTCTTAATGCATAGCTAGTCGGTTGTCAAACGTGTCGAATTTCAACGTTGCTCTACTGTAGGAATTGCATAGAGGAGTTCCTTGTGTAGCTGTAGTGAATAATCCACCTGCGTGGGGATGTGGAAGTGAAGCAAGGATGAAAACAACAGCAGCTCCCTTGTTCTTAACCCTGCTGAGTTAAGTGGGTTAGGGCTTTGCCACATGACCTACTTCCCTTGCCAGGCAAACACACTGATACTTAGCAAAAAAATACCTACTCTGCAGAGAAAATCCCTTTAAAAGTAGGACTTTATTATTTCAGCGTTCATATTCAGACTTCTATGGCGAAGCACGGAGGACAATTGAAAAAGGCTGTGTTCATTAGTTTCAGAATAAGATTTAGAATTCATGCTAATAATTAACTGTTTTGCTGCTTATGATTGATTTAACACAGACTTCTACCTACAAAGAAGATGGCAGGTGTATGACATTGTTTTTTTTTTTTTACATCGCCCCTCTTGTGTCTACATCTGTCACAATCACAAAATTGTAATTGACAATTAATTGTCTATTACATAAATAACTGCAATTAACGAGTTGAATTTTTCTGTTTAATTTATGCCTATATTATTTTAAATTTGTGGGATTAGTGACTCCAAATGACACTTTTTTTCAGCAAATCCAACAAAAGCCCTCCTCCAGGTTATGGGTTCTCTTTTGTCTTTCATTTTGACCCGACATCTGCCCACAGCTGTGCAGTGGTGTTAAAATAATAGGTTTGTTAATATACAAAGTTGTGTTAGTTCAGTGTTCTTAGTTCTGTCACTGCCACGATCAGAAAAAAAATGCAAACAGCACCTGCTGCTAAGAGACAACAGGTCAGAATGGTCAAAAAGCAGGTCTGCAGTGAATAAGAAGCTGCTGGAACACAGCGGTCAGTGTCCACAGTGTTTTACATCAACATGAGCTGAGAGGCTGACTTATAAGAAGGAAATTCTTCCTCTAGAAGCAGAACCTTAAATGAATGAAAAATACTTTATTTATCCCAGAAGGGAAATTCAATAAAAATAAAGGTTGACTGAAGTTTGCTGCTGATCCCAAGAACAAAGAAAAGGCCCTCAGGAGGAACGTTTTGTAGTCAGATGAAACATAAACTGAGCTATTTGGCCATGAAGACCATAAATATGTAAGATAAGAAAAGAAGTCGTACCCTTTAACCCCAAGAACACCAAACCTACCATCAAGCATGGTGGTGGCAGTATTATGCTCTGGGGCTGATTTGCTGCCAGTGGAACTGCTGCTTTACACAAAGTAAATGGAACAATGAAGAAGGAGGAGAATTACCTCCACATTCTTCAGGAAAACCTAAAATCATCAGCCAGAGGGTTGGACCTTGGATGCAGCTGGGTGTTCCAACAAGACAATGACCCCAAACACACATCAAAAGTGGTAAAGAAATGGTTAAATCAGGCTATAAGTAAGGTTGTGGACTGGCCAAAGTCCTGACTTCAACCCCATTAAGAACCTGTGGACTGTGATAAAGAAACTAGTCTGTGCCAGAAAGTCAAGAAATGTTATTAAAACTACACCAATTCTGTGAAAAGGTGTGGTCAAAAATACAACCGAAAGCTTCCTAGAAGCTTGTTGACGACTACCAAAAGTGCCCTATTGGTGTGAAAATGTCCAAGAAACACTTAACCAAATATTAGCATTGCTGTATGTATGTTTTTGACCCAACCGATTGCAGACCAATGTAAAGGTATGAAAGAACCAAAGTGCATGATTGTTTTTTGTTAAAAAGAAGTAGGTGTTTCAATAATTCCATCATAGAAAATTAAGAGTTATAGGAGTCATTGAAAACTCAAGACTGCCTACAATGTTACACACATTAATACAGAAATAAACATCAGCAAAGTAGCTTCAGTAAAGTGTCCAGATGCTTTCCTCTAGTAGCAACAGGCCTCTGGTCTTCAAAATAAGTATACAGAGAATTATAAAAGATCTGGAACATGGGCCAGGTGGATATATTCATATGCACAAAAGTCGTCAAGCTAAAAGTCAACGTTAACATTGCGCCTTCACACAGGATTCAAGCCCAACTGTCCCGTTTGAGAGTCCTCAGTTAAATCCTATACGTCTTACACTCACTGGGGACTTTGTTGCTCTTTATCCTCTGATTGGCTAAAGTCTCCTTCATGGGCTGGATTTTCTAAAGCCTGAAAATGCAGCCAGAAGGAAGTGCAAAGCTAGCCTCCTGTCAGGATACTTAAATCACAAAATTCTACAAGAGTGTAATGGAATTTTTGTCCAATGACATTATAGAATAGTGCCTATAGAGGCTTTAGGGCCCAGAAGTTTGTTTTCTAGGATTGCATCTCAAAGCTCTAATGAACCTGCAGGTAAACATTCTTAAAACTCGCTGCACACAGTCAGCAGCAGACAGACAGACACACACTGGTGAAGCCACAGATATGGTTGAGACAAAAACTGAGCTAATAGGGGAGCAAATGTAAATATTGGACCCCCAAGTGGTCATAAAATTCTACGACCATAAAGCTGTGTTTAGCTTTATCTGAAGTCCGGCTTTGTATTCATTTGTTACGACCATGTCCAGAGAAAGTTGAGTTTTTTGTCCACATGGTGTATTTTATGCGCTAGAAGACTAATCATGGGAAAATGAAGTCTGCAGCGAACCGATGAGCAGCTCAGACACACAGATACAGACTTTCAGGGCTTCATATGCAACAAACCTCAGAAACTAATCCTGTCATCTTGCAGGATGTGGCTTTCTGTACCATTATTCAGAATCGGTTTCTGGTTTATCCTTGGCTGAATGTGGTTTTACATTGTTTGAGCCAAGTGGGAGGTGAGCTGGTGTGCTAGAGCTGGAGCGAACAAGGAGGAGAGAGGCAGGGAAGTCATAGATTTTAGAGAAAACAATGGTGTATTTACCATTTTAAGGCAGGAGGGGATTATTTTCATCGATAAAAAACTTCTAAATGTGTAACTTTGATTGACAGAGATGAGTTTTTAGGGGTTTTCAGGGACTTTAAAACTAAGATTTCAACAAAAAGGATGTCTTGTTCTGAGCTTCATCCTGTTTTATTACACTGAAGCATTGAAACATGAGTTACTGCCCCTTGTTTAACTCTAACCTCTACATCCTGCTACTTTGTCCTGTCATGTGCAGCTTCTTTAAGTAAATAAAGACCTGCCTTTTTTTTTTAGGTAGTTTTGTATATTTACTCATGGAAAAATATCTAATGAGCTACTTCTGCAGTTTGAAAGAACTACAAAGTGTTTGTCAATGTGAGGATGACCGACAGTCCAACTGGAATATGGTGTCGTATAATCAGATCCTATCGGCTGTACAATCAAGTTATGGATGTTGGGTGCAAGTGTCCACACAACTGTCCATGACCTCTACAGCAACCATGACAGATTGAAACTGTTCCTTGTCTCTCGCCTAATGACTGCCAGCCCCCAGCCTCTGACAAACATGAGCTGTCCAAGCAGTTATACACCACAAACAGTGAAAGGAATGAAGACAACGTCAATGAGAACATTTTGAAAAGTCAGACGACAGCCACAAGTAACAAATGGAACAATTATGACCTCTCCAACCATTAAGGGAAGTAGTCACCTCTGACTGGGTGGAAGGGATAGAAAAAGAAAGCAACACTTACCGAGTCCATTCTCACAGTCTGTAAACTCCATGGAATGAACAGCTCGGTCTACTCCATATGGACCCATTAGTGTCCTGGTCATGATGGATGTACATGAGGGGCAGAGAAGACAAACAGATGAGAAGTTAGTGCAGCACAAACTGAACTCTGAGAGATAAATGTGTTTTACTTCACAGATTAGTCCCTTTGGTTAAAACTATGATTATTCAATCTGTAGGAGCGCTGAACTGGAATTTGACTTGATGGTGAACACTAGGCCTCCTGTCTCCCTCAGACAGGCAGATTAAGACTGAAGACACTTCACTGAACATGAGCACACACCAGCCATGAAAAAAATCTTTCAAGCTGAAAGCTCTTTTTACATTAATCGTTTTTCCATGTCAGGTACAGTAATATGCAAAGGAATGGGGTTTTTTTCCATTTTGTCTTGTTGTAGGCAGCTCAATTTGGCAGTTTAGTGCAAACGTTTTAAAATCAGACCAGTTAAATATGTGGATTGTAGTTAAATGACAGAGTTTACAATCCACTTAACTGTGTCAGTTTTGTCAAAAGGTGAAATAGCACTCATAGTCTTTGGAAAAGTTGCTGTTTTGGTGACACTGTCAGACATTAGTTACTCAGAGCAGCGAATACACACCTCTGGATGCAACATGGAGGGAGAAAGAGCATGTGAGATGTATTTTAACTGAAGAGCATCCAGCACTGAGCTGTGGCTTAAAAAACATCCATATCACAGGTAGGCAGAAAGGAATATTAGTGCCAGAGTGTGTGTCTGTAGCCACCAGCTGAGACAGCAATCCATCCATGAATAAAAGAGTTATCTTGTCAACAGGAAAAACAACAGCATTCTTCTTTTTTTAGAAATTAAATTACATTCCTGTGTTACTGAATTGCTTTCCCAATTAAGTTTTAAATGGAGACACAATCACTGGCTAAACGACTGCATTAAGGGAAGTTGATTTTATTTGTTTCCCGTTATTCAGTCAATGAATCCCTGCAGTTTTAAACAAAGTCACCAGAAGAAGTTGGCTGGCAGGTGCACAAAGCAGGTAACTCTTGCACCAGAGTCCCATGTGCGATTTATGCAACAAAAAAAGCGCATAATGTTGGAGAAAAATGGTGGAGTCTGTATTAACCTGTGTATGATCTGACTCCGACCTAAACCAGGTGCTGCCGGCGTGTAGACAGAGATGCCGCTGCGGTCACTACAAGCGGGTTAAAAACGTGTCGCGATTAGTGTTAAACCCCAATTAGGTTACGCTAATACGACTCCCACCCCTCTATCGTGAACAGAGAAAATGTGAAACCAAAAATCATTATTTCCTGCAAAGCTTCCAGGTAGTAGGTTAAGATAACAAAACCTCATTATAAAATCAAACCACAGTGTTCAAGATCAACAGAAGCAAAACAATTACCTTCTTCCTGAACTGAATAAAAATGATGTCCTCTCATAAAAAAACAGTGCCACATTGTCAAAAAGTTAACAATAGGACACTTGAAAAGCTTAATGAATATGGAAAATGTCTGAGTTGAATTGCAATCCACAGCAGCACAGAAGGCAGATGACAATAAGCAAAGGGCATGTCTATGTGCTCTATCACATGTTTTAAAACTAATACACAGCCACAATTTTTCTTGTTTTATCAAAATTAATCTCAAATATTGACATGATCCAGTCCTGTCTGAAGATATCAACCACCATATCTGCTCCTTTAATCAGGATGATTTGGCCACACAGTTGTAAACATCAAGAAGATTTCAATCTTAATTTCTTTCTTAAACTTTGTGCTCTTGATACGTCTAAGACCAGATCTTTCTTTCAGTTCCAGTTCTCATGACATGACAGGTGTCCAACTCGTATCTGCTGGCCAAGAACAACATAGGTTCAACATCCCAAATGCGTCCATCATAGAGCACACTGTATTTTACTGAGCCGCCACTGAAAACACAAGGATTAAACAAAAAAAGAACAAGTTATACACCCAATGAAAGAGACATTAAGCACTGACACCATCAGCTCAGATCACGTGGGCTGGAGTAGTTCCACACTGGCACAAACAACATCCATGTTTATATCAGGTTCTCCATCACAACTGGATATTGTCTGACAGTCTGATCCCTTTAAAAAAAAAAGTCAAATGTTTTTCCATCATATCAAGTCATTTAATTTAGACGCATTTTTTCATTTCACCTCGAATCATTAAAGTAACTTTACAAATTGGGCAACAGGTAGCCCAGTAACAACAAAAGCTGTTTTACCATAAGTGGATTTGATGAACTGTCATTACACATGATTAGAATTGTCACTCTTGAAATCATAAATAAGCTAAGCCTGTAGGGGAACTTTTTGCTCTCCTCTTGCAAGAGAAGTCACACAAATAACATGTGCAGATTGAAGTCAATGCACAATAAGAGTAAGTTTGATTCTTTAGGTCTCATGCTTCACATTTTTAAAGCAGCCTACATACAGCAACAGTATGATTGAATTCCTGAGATTCAGTTATGTCTTTTGGGTTTGTGTTCCACCCTGAAGCTTCCAGTGGCCACATCTGGTCTCCTCTATGAAACAGTTCTGGAGGCGCCACTGGTTCATGCATCCATTTGGTTTTTTTTCCCAGCATTTCAACTTTTGATCTAGAAAAACACACGATTAGACGAACTTTTTTTTTTTTTTAGATAGAACATCAGGACACAAGCAGCGCGTACATTTTACGGCACACCATGTCCGCTACTCCAAAGGTGAACCAAATACTGGCAGCTGTCGTTGCGCACGGCGCAAGAGCGCGATAGACGACAGATGGACAGAGGTCTATCCTCTTCAGTGGAATGGTGACCAAAATAACACCAGGGGGGGAAAAAACAACAACGAAAAAAAACACGGACACTCTGAGCAGCGTGTGTAACCTACGTGTTGATATTTCTTCCTCTTAACAACACAAATCAACATTTCAGCACTGAGCGCCTTCGTGGTTCAACACATTTAACGCAGCGTCCTGGTGCACAGAGTTACCGCCTCACCAGCAACACTTTAATCACATTTTTCCACCTGCTCACTCCACATTTCACCTGTTCTCCAAACATAAATCTTAACAACACATCGCCACAACATCCACACAACACTGACAGAAGTGGACGCACACCATCGTCAGCCATTGTTCCAGCCCCGAGCAGCTCAACACCTCCGCCTGTGTGTGTTTGTTTTTTTGGTTATTATTTTACCTGCTAATGATGACAGCTCCTTTATACATAACTGAGAAGGTTGGCATTTTGACATGGAGCCCGCTTCTCCGGTGAGACGGACGGTTCGGTGCGTCGCAGCGTTCCCGGGTGTCAGCCTCCAGCCCGCAGCCACATCATGGTCTGTTCGCGAGGCAACCTCTAATTCCAGTTAACCACAGTGTCCGCTCCAAACATCTCCACTTTCCCCCCACACGTTTAATCTCTTACATAACAAAAGTCGAGGGGGGGTGGCAAAAAAAAAAAAAAAAATCAAAAAAAGCCACCACCGAGCCTGGAAGTGATCTGGATCACGTTTCTCCACCTGCGATCCTCCTCTGCTGTCCGACTGCAGCGAATTTCAACAAGAAGTGAGATCGCGTTCAGCTGAATCTGTCCATTTCACAGCATGTTCTCTTTTCTGTTTTTTCAAATTTTCTGTAATAATGTGTGACATTTTACCAGTTTGGATTTTTTTGGTAATATTTATTTCTACATATAACTGGAGTTGCACATTATTATTTTAAATTAATTTATTTAAACTTTGGCATGTTTTTAAATATGATCATTCACAGTTTAGTTCCAAAATAATAACCATCATAAAGGTTTTTTAATGCTGGGAAACGTTTGACACACTAACAAGTGCTTGTTGAGCAGGAAGAGCTCAGATGCCTTTAAACACATTAATGCATAAGTACCTCGCTCTCCATTTACAAACTGCTATTTAATCCGCATCCATTACTCAGTATTGTCATTTGTCATTCAGACCTCTGAGCATCTGTGTTGTGTTGCTGCCTGTTAAGACTAAAGCTGACAATGTTTTTTTTTTTTTTTTTAGGTCAATCAATCTCTTGATCATTTTATGATAAATGTGTTAAAGTTATTCTATTAAAAAATGATACTAAACTACAGAACCCTAATGTAATGTCATTTAAATGTCAAATGAGTCAAATCATATGTTACCGTACTTTCATTACTTTAAGATGAACAATAAGTATTTGCTCCTAACTTACAAACTGATCAGATTTACTGTATTAACCCTATTCAGGGCTGCAAGGTGGTTCAGTGGTTAGCACCGTTGCCTCACAGCAAGAAGGTTGAGGACGGTGAGGACACCCGGGATCTTTCTGTGTGGAGTTTGCATGTTCTCCCCGTGCAGCGTGGGTTCTCTCCGGGTTCTCCGGCTTCCTCCCACACAGTCCAAAAACATGTTGAGGTTAATTGGTGATTCTAAATTGTCCGTAGGTGTGAATGTGAGTGTGCTTGGTTGTCTGTCTCTAAGTGTAGCCCTGTGATAGACTGGTGACCTGTCCAGGGTGTCCCCTGCCTTCACCCATGACCCTAGTGAGGATTAAGCGGTGTGTAGATAATGGATAGATGGATGGATGGAACCCTATTCAGGCCTTTTGGCCATTTGCTTTAGGTGACAGGTATTGTCTTTTTGGGGTTTTTTTTTGAAGACTTTTTAAAAATATAAACAAAAGAGACATTTTTCATGCATTTGGGACCAAAAATACGTCAACTTATCAGAAAATGTATTTAACATAGTCTATATAGTCTATAATGAATACCAACACATATTTTGCACGTGTCCTTTCTTGGGGTCCAATGGGGACCCCGAAAGACCTTCTATGTATGGCAACATGAAAGTCGGATAGGGTCAAACAATGCAAAAGTTATTCCTTGGAATCAATTTCAGGGAATTTTGTGATGAAAAAACCGGGATGATGACATTATTATGGGCTGTTTTATTATAGATTATATAGGAAATGATTCAGGATTTAAACATGATATTCTATAAAGCAGTATGACATTAAGTGGGCAGCGCTGTATTTTGGTTTATCAACTGGCATTCATG